CACAAAATAGTAAATGATTTCAAAGGCAAGAATTATAGCCATAAAACTTCTATCCTTCTAAAAACAATCATTGACATAATCAGCAAAGAATAAACTCAGAACAATTTATTCTTTCTAATTCAAGGCTGCAATTTCTTCTTACTAATTCAAAGCTAGCAAAATGGAGTACAAAGCAAAATAAGCAAAATGGAGTACAATTTACGCAAGACAATTTTTCCCCATTAGGCTTTTGGCCTACATTGTCCCCCTTTTGACCCATTAATATCAATATATTAAATGGGTCACATCTCGTGTAATTGCTTTAAGGCAACATATTGCAAAGCAATTTGGGCTTGTGGTTTTAATCTGAGGTACATTCTTTTCATCCAACAGCACATAATGCACATTATGACAAATATTGTTCCAATTAGTACAAAGAAAACAATTATGAGATGAATCATAATATTTAAAACTGATGTCCATGAGGGGGACCAGCCTCTAAAAATGCCATACCAATGGTGCACCATCATTTGTTGAGCTTGTGTGGATACTTTCAGAATTTCAGTTCCTTGATGCAAAATAGCCAGACTTCGTGTTAGTACTTTTGTCCGGGTTGCTGCAGTTAATTGACTAATCTGCTTATTCCCTGCTAGCCATTGGTATGAGGTGATCCAATTAACCCCCAAAGAAAAATTAAAACTCAGGGCATATTATTGATATCTACTAGGTTAACATCCTTATTTTTATGAACCGGAAAATAGTAAGTCATGGTGGGAGTTCGCAATATTGTCACATTGCACATACATTGTTGTACAGGTGGCCTCTGAGTATACTTTTCCTGCCACACAATTTTTTCCAGTCCAATAATACAAACATAATTTTCCCCATCATAGTATACTTTGGTGGTGCTATTATCCAATTCATCCCAGTAGCATGTTGCTAAATTTTTTATTTGAACGGAGCAATGCTCCTCTAAAATTGCCAAGTTGGGGCATATCCACTGTCGAGTAGTCCATTTTTTTACACCCATGGGGCGATTATTGATTTCTTCTTTATTATTTAAATACATTCCTGCCAATCGTGGGGCCCAAATATGCCTTCCCTGTAGGGTTGGGAGTGCTAAGAAAGACTATAGGGTGTTCAGGTATCTGGCAGGGTGAATCCGCATCACCTGGCTAGCAATGTGTCCAGTTAGGGTGTTTGTGTATACGTCTGAGTCCATAAGCTTATACCATTCTGAAATATAAGGGAGGAGAAGATTATTTCTCTGTATGCTGAAGGGGAGTTAAGGCAGACATATCCTTGGCTCGAATCCAATCCATCTCTCTTTCTGTTAAAACAATGGCTAACAGCTGTTGCTCAGAACACCATAAGGCTATAGCTATTTTATCAGCTATGTCTCGCATAGTAAGCCCGAAATGTATGATTGATGTGGTCCCAAGTGTGCCACCCCTGTCTGTACCAACTCAGTGATTTGGTGTTCTTGCCTTTTTGCTATTCTGTGGTGTAAAGCTTCTACCGCACAGGCCTTTGTTTTTAATGCTTCCAGATCCACTGAATTTAATATTCCTGTTCCAGCTCCTCTGCCTCCCAGTATAGTACTGGCTAGAGCTCTCGTCCCTTGAAGGGGAGAATGTTTTTGTTTCAAGGAGCCATACCAAGCGTTGAATAAGGGGGTGCTGTATGGTGCACATTCGGGCCGTGTGATGGTTACATTATCCTTTGTCCAATTAACTGTGATGTGTAGCGTTGTTATCCTGGGTGCCATGTATGCCTTAATTGGTGGTTATTTCTTAAGTAAATGTGGGTAGGGTCTTTCCATGATTGGAAGGCCATTTAACAGTAGCACTGTTAGATTGCCCACAAAAATAGTTTTGTTCACCCACACTGTAATCGTGCACGCCTCTAATGGTCCTGGTATGAATGGTAGAAAGGTGTGTGAACCAGGTTTACTGGGTTCACAAAAAGGATTCAAATCCATAATCGGCTCCATAGTAGTTATCACCTCAATCACGCAGTCATGATCCTCATTGGTTATATTAACTCAGGCTTGCAATGTAATTTGTGTGAAGGTCCCATACAGGGTATTGTTATGTATGGGTATTTCCTGAACCCTGTTCCACTCTGTCAAATTAAACTATTGTAGCCCCCAATGTACATATGTTATCATTGAACCCCAAAAGCTTATGAATATCCCCCAAAATAACAACATCTTACCCTTAGCAGATTTCTGGCAGGACTCCCTTAGGATCAGGTAGTGTGCGAGGGAATCTCTATCGGGAGGAATTCACGTGATTATTGGCAGGTATACTTCTAGTCCATATTAAATATAATATGTAATATAATATAAAATATATAAAATATTAAATATAATTGTGTAATAATTAAACACAAACAAATTAGGAAAACAATTTTATCTGTGACACATGAACCCACTTAAGTTTGCCGTCTTTTTCAATATGGTACACTAGTGGGCCAAGATGGTCAACTACGGAATAGGGACCTGTCCACTTAGAATCCAGGGCATGATCCTTTTTCCCTAGCTTTAAATACATTACCTGGTCACTGGCTTCCCATAGCTCAGAATCGGTGACTTTTTGCTTGTACAATTTTGTATTCATTTGTTCAATGGCTTGATTCACCCTATATTGTAAGATAGTTTTGTCTTCTTGCAGTTGTTTAAGCCACTGAAAGTAGTCATGCTGGGTTGCTGTAGGGTGTTCTTCAGAATCTCTAGTGAGGCACTCAGGATTAATCATTAACCGCATCGGTTGCCAATTTGGTACAGCTGGATTTTTGTCTTCAGCCTGTCACTGCTGCAGATGGCAGCCAGGATCAAGGGCAGCTTTTCAGGCCAGTTTTTACCGGTGTGGTCTACTACTTTTCGCAGTGCCTCTTTATGGTGTGATTCATTCTTTCCACCTGTCCTGAGGATTGGGGTCAGTACGGGATATGAAACTTTTGTTTAATTCCCAAAGCATGCATCATCATGGTAAAAATTTCCCCCACAAATGCACCCCCATTGTCTGCATCTATAACCTTGGGGGGTCCATACCTACATACCACTTCTGTAGCCTTGGTAATTTTATTTTGTGCTTAAATTTTATGTTCATCATTTATTTTCCTAATATAGTAATCTCTTTTAAAAAAAAAAAAAACACAATACACAACAATGCTAGCAACAAGACAAGACAAACAACACAAAACATATTTTTTGTCGCGACAGTAGATCCACAGTAGATCCATGGTATTCTGAGTTGCTTCACAGCTGGTACCATTTTTTTCGCACATGCAGCATCCTACACTATTCATAAGGTCTAAACACCAAACACATTCTTACAACTCTAATATTTATCTTAACAATACTAACACCCAGGTAAGTCAGACTGGTTTCCAGCTATGTATTTGTTAGTGTTCAGTGAGGGCCTGGCCCTTCGCATGAGCTGGTACCTGGTCTGCCAGCATCACAGCTAGTAACAAATAGTACTGGAGGATAATATTTTCACAATTTCTAGAGGTCTCTAATGGAGCCACTGCTTGGGCTTATTCTACTCCTTGCATTGGCCTGTCAAATGCACACAGGCCATGGTTACACAGGAAAACCCAATGCCACATTCCTCAACCTAATACACCTATCAGGTCTGTCTCTGTGTGGCTCTTTGAACCTCTTGCTAGCAGTGACAGTACAGTTGGCTGATTGTCTTGCTGCTATTTTGTACCATTTGCTGGCTTCGCTCAAGTGACTCCTCTGAGGATTTGCAGAATATAGTATAGGAGTTGAAGGAGTTGAATATGCTTTGGGACGCTTAACCTACCAGTACTTCAACCTCTCTCTTGCTCTCTCTGGGTGGGGATTTTGGCTCACAAACACACACACACCAAGGAGGGAGGCGAGGAGGAATCTTGTTTGGAATAAATTCATAATGCAGCTATTTCATTTGTAATATTGCTTTATATTGTCAGCACATTAGCTTCTGTGCATGGAGTTATTTCCAATTTTGGGGTGACACCACATCTTAGTGGAATGTTTTCTGTTTTCTGCTCATTTTTGACCACCATGAGCCTAAGAAATGGATGGTTTTGAAAGGACTTGTTCCCTTCCAGACACCTGTCTGACCAATGGGAGTAAATCAGTCTTTTTAAACTTTCAACAGTTAACACTGATAGCAGCTGCCCCATCACAGATTTTATAGATAGTGTGATAGACCCAGGCCAGTTGGGTACAGCAGAATAGCAGAAGGCAGATATACTGGCCACTGGATTAACAGTTTTCTGTTCCCTGATTGACCAGAGCAGGGGCTGCTCCAGGCTAATGAGAACACCTGACTCCAATTAACCTGCAAAGAGTCAGGTGAGGCTATTAAGCTAATGTGACCACCTGACTCTAATTAAGGCCCCGCTGATACTCTAAAAAGGGCTCACTCCAGTCAGGCAGAGAACAGCCAGGGAGCCAGAGGAGAGGCAGTGTGGCTGAAGGGCTGGTTAATGAAGATACCCTCAAGTTATTGGTAAGGGGGAAGAAGGGAGAAGCAGGAGAGCTGTGGGGAAGTGGCCCAGGGAAATGTAGCAACTCTGGCAGTGAAAGGTTGGCTGCCAACAGCTGCTACCATTAGGGTCCCTGGGCTGGAACCTGGAGTAGAGGGTGGGCCCGGGTTCCCCCCAACCCACCACTACAGGAACACCTCCTGGGAGGGGAAGTCAGGCCCCTGTCAGGACAGGAAGCTAAACTGTTCTAAAACAAGCCCTAGGGACAACAGAGACTGTGGGAGTTCTCTCACCAACCTCCTTGCTGGCTTATGATGAAAAGGGCTCAGTAGACTGTAACCCTGGCTCTAGAGAGAGAAGGGCTACGTGGAGGGTCACAGAGAGCCACTGAGGCTAGCATATACCGCCTAGAAGCGCAGGACCCACGGGGACAAGGTCAGAGCTCTGCCACAGAAGATATACACAATATATCAGTTAACATAGATCAATGTATTTGACTAGTTCTTCTGTAATGTACTGTGTTTTCTCTTTTTCAGGCTGTTTTTATTACCATATCTTAGTTATCTGGATGTTTCCTTCAATGATATTAGCGTTATCCCTCATGAAATCAGGAATCTCAGGTATTGATACATAATATACACTGGAACCAGACCTATGTGTAAAAATATTGTGAGCCTATTAGGAAGTTGATTGTTATTAGTAAATCTGGAGTAATGCCACTGATGTCCATGGATTTACTCTGGATTTGCACCAATATAACAGAGATCACAATCTGGCCCACTGTCCTGTGACAGGGGTCTGATTTTTACAATTAAATGCATGTCCAGTTGCTTAAATATCATGATTATGCTTGTAAATAAGGTAACTTCACACAAATTGTGATCATTGTGCCCATATGCATGTGCACTTGCCTAATTTGCATACATGAGCCCTGTAATTGTATGCACCCAAATCATGTAAACCACATTGTCATTCCCAGAATGTGCAAGTGAAGGTCTGATTGCAGTGCGGGTAGGCATACCTGCGCTAGCTTTAATCCGGCTAGCATGGGTAACAATTGTAGTGACCATGTGGGCGCAGGGGTTTTAGCATGGGCACCAGAGTACATACCCGGGATCCCCTTGTACGCTGATTGCTAGCCCGTGCTCCCACTTCTTCACTACTATTATTACACATTAGCTAGGTTAAAGCTAGCACAGGTACGTCTGCCGTGCCACAACTACACCTTCACTTGCAGTGTAGACATACCCTCAGTGTGTTTGTGTGTGTGATAGGCAGGGGAGATTAATACTTTGGCTTCATGGGAATGATACAATAGAAACTTTATGACAGACAGAAAAGGTTTTTCTGAAAAAACATACAGAATTCAGATACCTTTTAGAATTAAGGTTAACACCTTTGGGGTATATTGTATTAAAAGCAATTGTATATGTGTTATTGTGGCATTGTATGTACCTTCTCTAGGAGGGACGGGGATGCTAATATACTTCTTCCATTATAAACCACCCTCTGGAGAGATTCACATATACCAGTTCAGAGTGGATTCTTCAGGGACCAACAGACAAAGAAAGGGTTTTTGGATAAACAGCCTGGTTTTAAACTGGCTCATGGCCTTCTTCCTCATCCAGCAAACGGACAGGACCCATGTTCCAGGGAGGGCCCCAGTCCTTTAGGGCAGTGGCTCTCAACCTTTTCAGACTACAGTACTGCTTTCAGGAGTTTGATTTGTCTTGTGTACCCCCAGATTTCACCTCACTTCAAAATTATTTGCTTATAAAATAGACATAAAAATACAAAACTGTCACAGCCCACTATTACTGAAAAATTGCTGACTTTCTCATTTTTACCATATAATTATAAAATAAATCAATTGGAATATAAATATTGCACTTTTCAGCATATAGTGTATAAAGCAGTATAAACAAGTCACTGTCTATGAAATTTAGTTTGTACTGACTTAGCTTGTGTTTTTATGTAGCCTGTTGTAAAACTAAGCAAATATCAAGATGAGTTGATGTATCCCGTGGAATACCACTGCATACCCCCAGCAGGGCCGGTGCAAGGATGTTTCGCACCCTAGGCGAAACTTCCACCTTGTGCCCTCCCCGAGCCCTGTGGCAACTCCCCGCCCTGAGGTGCCCCATCCTGCAACAGCTCCCCACCCCCCTCTGCCCTGAGGCACCCCCCCATGGCAGCTCCCCACTCCCCCGGCCCAGGGAGCCGTGCGGCAGCTCCCCACCCTAGCTCACCTCTGCTCCGCCCCCTCCCCGAGCCCTGCGGCAGCTCTCCACACCCCCCTCCGCCCTGATGCACCCCCGCCCCGTGGCAGCTCCCCCCCCTCGCCCGGGGAGCCATGCGGCAGCTCCACACTCCAGCTCACCTCTGCTCCGCCTCCTCCCTGAGCATGCCGCCCCTGCTCTAATTCTCCTCCCCTCCCAGGCTTGCCACGCCAAACAGCTGATTGGCGCCGCAAGCCTGGGAGGCGGGAGAAGT